ACCCTTTTCCCCAGGACGGTGTAGGAGGGAGAGCTTCATCGTCAGTGCTCCATCCTAATGTTTCAGTTCCCTGCTTTAACAAAGCACAACTGGTCCCGTAGCTCAGCACTTGAGGGGGCCAGATCCCACGTGGCCAGACACTGAATCCTGGCAGCTTAAGAAACAGTCTTGGCATGTGTGCAGGTATACCCAGATCCCGGGTGGAGGGCGGGGGCTGCAGTGTGACCGTGCCCTATTGAGGAGTGTGCTCGCTCGCTCTCTTTAATTTGGCAATTCAAGAAAAAAAATAAAGTTTGTAAACAAGCCGCCTTTCAGGTCTCCATCTTCTCTAGTTCAGACAGGGGTTGCGAGACTTACAGGTCCCTGTACTGAGTGTTAGGTGTAGACTTGCACCAGTGTGTAATGTGTGTACCTCACTGCCAGCGCGGGCAGGGCAGCCAGACACCTCGAGAGCAGGGCACCGCCTGCACCCTGACCCTGACACAGGTGAGCACAGACTGCACCAGCGGCAGTTTGCTGGCTCCTGGCGTAGCCCTCCTAAAAGGTCTGCCTTCTCTGGTCTCCATACAGTCTGTTTTCCTTGTAACTATCAAGGAGATATTTTAAAAACCTAAATCAGTAAATTCCTTCTCTCGTTAAAACTTGTAGCAGCTTCCCATCAACCTTCCTATAAATCCCAAGCTCCTAGCCCTGTCAGTTAAAGCTGCTGGATCCCACATGGTAGACTTCGCAGTTGAGTCCAGGACCTGGCAGAAAAATATGTCAGGCGTGTGTGTGTGTGTGTGTGTGTGTGTGTGTGTGTGTGTGTGTGTGCGCGTGCGCGAACTCCCCAGAGGAGATCCTAAAAGGTCTGCCTTCTCTGGTCTCCATACAGTCTGTTTTCCTTGTAACTATCAAGGAGATATTTTAAAAACCTAAATCAGTAAATTCCTTCTCTCGTTAAAACTTGTAGCAGCTTCCCATCAACCTTCCTATAAATCCCAAGCTCCTAGCCCTGTCAGTTAAAGCTGCTGGATCCCACATGGTAGACTTCGCAGTTGAGTCCAGGACCTGGCAGAAAAATATGTCAGGCGTGTGTGTGTGTGTGTGTGTGCGTGCGTGCCTGAAATCCCAAGAGGAGAATGGAGGAGAAGGGATTGCGGTGTGGCCATCCCAACTGGGAGGTGATTTGCCACTCTCTTCCTGCTTTCACCACAAGCGCACACACCCTAAACCAAAATTTAAAAAAAAAAAGTGAAAACCAGGTTCTTTACCTTGACCACCGCCTGCCTCTCGGGTCGCATCTGGCTTCTTCCACATTGACCTCCCTATTCCAGGCTCACACCTGCCAGACTGGCTCCTGCCTCTTTCTAGAACATTCTCCAGATTTTCGTGTAGCCAGCCCCTTATTTAGGTCTCAGCTCAAATAAGCCCTCCTCGCCCGCACCTGCCCTCCTCACCTTAAAGCAACTCTCCTGAGCTTGCTCGGTGCCGTTATCTTATTATCACAATGCTTATTGCGATGTAGGAGCAGTTCTTCAGTTGCCTTATGGCGCATCTCCCCACCTGTCGTCAACTCCAGGGGAGTGTGGCCGGGGGTCTGCCCACCCCAGGAGCCGGGGACAGAGCCGGCCACGCAGCGGGTACTTGACATTTGCTGTGGCAGCCCTGGATTCTCTGGGGTCAAAGCCCCTTTACATTCATGGTATCTTACTGTTTCAAACCTGTGAAGCGAATGGCGGGTGCTCTGATCTTATACTGAGAGGAAGGGCCTGGTGACACAGAGCTGATGGGTCGTCGGGAAAGTCGTGACATATTTTTCTATGCAAAAACGCTTCATGACTTTCCCAACGACCCAATCGTAAGTGGCAGAGACCAAACCAGACCTCAGGGTGCCTGGCCTTCGGGTTCTGTATTTGGCTGTCAGTATCGTGGTGGTCTTTGGCTGTTTATCTATTTAAAGTAGGTTTTTCTTGATGTTGATTCCAGAAGGTCTCAGACTCTGGGCACACTGGGACCAGCTCAGAACTGTCCCTGAGGCGTTGTTCTGTGGACAGCTGGGTTGGCCCCTTGGTTCACCCTGCTCGTGAAGCTTAACTGAGGGAGAGCGTGGAGAGTGGTCGCGCTGTAAATATTACTGTTTAAATGAAAGAACTGACTAATTTTTAAAGAGTACAGTTAATTTCCTGAGGAGAGCCAGTAGATAAGTTCTATATGCCATTCATTGTGGGGAGATTTTTGCCCCTGTGATATGTATTTTCCATGAACTTTTTGAAGACCCCTCTCCACACTATATCCATAAAATTGGGTTGTTGGACTGGTAGGCGGTGTGGCGGATGGGGGTGCTGGCCTCCCACATGGCCCACCACAGTTCAACTTGCAGACCTAGCAGCTTGCTTTCTCACTTTCTCTCACTCTCTCACACTCTGTCCCTCTCTGGTTAAATTAAAATAAATAATTAAACAAAGTTAAATAATTCTTTTTAAAAATTGGGTTGGAAAAGTCATGATGCATTTTTGCATAGAAAAACAACAACAAAAAAAAATCTGTCATGACTTTTCCAGCCACCCAGTAGTTGCTGCATCTCTTAGAAGTATTTTAATCTAGATCCTGCAGCGTGTGAGTGACTGTTTGGGTGAAGCATGGCTAAAAGCTTATAGAGTAAGTGGAAAAGGAAGATGTGTGCTGAAAAGAGGGAAAAAATGCCCCAAAGGAGCTCAACAGACTTAAAAGTCTTCTCAAAGTAGACAGTGATGCTTTAATGAAAGATGTTCAAGAGATTGCTACTGTTGTGGTTCCCAAACATCACCAAGAGAAAATGCAATGTGACGTGAATGATGAAAAAGATGATATGAAAATGGAAACTGATATGAAGAGAAATAAAGAGTCTTCTAGACCAGCACGGACAGTACCCAGTATGGATGAACCAGAGGCAAAAGAAAAGATTGAAGGCAAAGTGAGAGAAAGCAAAGGGGAAAAGCAAAGCAAAAGCAATGAAGGCAGCGAAGGGCTTGGCCTGGTAGACTCTTAAAAACTAAAGGTGCCACATGGGACAGTTGGTTCAAGTGTATACAGCAATTTCATATCCCATTGAGTGACTTTAATTCAGACAACATAATTCCTCAAGTTTGTTTTGGGAACTTGAATAAAATAGTTTCTTTGATGAATGAAAGCTATGCTAATCATTTTAATTAGATGCCACGCAGTTTTCAGGTTTTGATCAGACGTCAAAACAATTTCAGGTATGAATGTGGTTATAATGGCTTGTTCTTACAACTTGGTGACTATAGTCAGTGAAGATAAATGATGTACTGGCGAACTTGAGTGACTTCATTTAAAGAACGCTTATGTAATCATACCATTTGTCAGAGAATATAAAAACTATATATATTTGGACCTTTGATTTGTGTACTACAGAATAAAATATATTTTGTGTGAAAAAAAAAAAAGAAGTATTTTAATCTAGAGCCAGCAAGTGGTGTGGTCAGGGCGGCTGGGTCCTGCGTGGCCAGCCACACAGTTCAAGTCTGGGATCTGGTAGCGTGGGGCGCCCAGAATCCTAAGAAGGGAAAGGATTGCGTGGCCGGCCTCCCAGGGGTACTTCCTCACCTTCCCTCGCTGACGAGCACGTGCACTCTATTGCAGAAGTTTTTTAAGAAACAAAAAATGTAATCCGAACGTTGCCTTTTTTTTTTTTTTTTAATTATCAGAGGGCATGTATGCTTGCCAGAGAGAAGCAGACAGAAGGGAGGGCGAGAAAGCACCCCAGTGGGCTGTGGCCATGCCACAGTCCCTGCTCCATTTCTCCATCTAGTCAGGGTTCTGGGCACGCGCACATGTGTGTGCCTCGTGTGTTTTTCAAGCTGACGAGACAGACTCAGACTGCAGCTGGCCATGTGGGGTCTGGCTTCCTTACCACTAGGTTACATGGTAATAGCTGTTTTGGTTTGTCTGCTGACAGTAGTGAGGCAACATAGCTATTAGAGTCATTCCCTCTCTGGTGCAGGAATTCTGGCATTGTTTGGATACTTCCAAAGAGAAGAAGCTTATCATGTCTCACTACAGAATGCATCTTCACTTTATAGACACGACTATCAGACGCATCTCTTTCTAGAATTGTCACATTAGAGCGAATGAGGCTTTTACATACGCTTGAGGAATTCATTGCTTAAAGGAGATAAAAACCTTTTGAACAAAGGTCTCATTGGCTTTTTATTCCCCCATACCAGTATATTATGTGATGACTTAAAAATAATAATTTGCAGGGCGTCAGCAGGTGGCATAGTGATTATGGTGCTGGACTCCCACATGGCCACACCCTGTGGGCGCATGTGCATGTGTTCTCAAAATCCCAGGAGGAGAATGGAGAAGAAGGGATTATTGTGTGGCCATCTTTCCTGGGGGGTGATTTTTCACTTTCCCTCTCACTGTCTCTCTCATCATGAGCACATGCACCCTATGGCAAAAACCTTAAAAAAAAAAATTTTCTTGTTCAAAACCCATTTTTGGAAGTATTTATTTTTTGGGGGGGGGGGAGGTTTTCGCTATAGGGCGCGTGCACTTGCCAAATAGACAGAGAGAGACATAGAGACAGAAAGCGAGAAATCGCCCCCCAGGGGGTATGGTCATGCTGCAATCCCTTCTCCTCCATTCTCCTCTCATGATCTTAGGCAGGCACGCATGCACACGCGCCCGGCATGAGTTTTAAGCCACCAGGTCCGGGATGCGAACTGCGGTCAACTATGTGGGAGTCCAGCGACATAGCCATTACGCTAACTGCTGGTTCCCTGGAAGTGTTTATTTCTAAAGACACATATTATTAAGACCAAAAGAAAACTCAGGCAGTAGTGGAAAGGGTCTGTCCTACACAACATTGCTTCACTTTAACCTAGAGCAGGGTGGGGCCGGGGGTAGAGGGGCTAACTGCCCTCAGAAAGGGTTCTTGGCTTCTTCCCTGGAGTAGAGAGCTGTGATTTGTTACTGAGTATTTGATTCTGATTCTCTCTGTAGATTGCTGCTAAAATCGATTCAATTCCTCACTTGAACAATTCCACACCTCTGGTGGACCCCTCGGTGTATGGATATGGAGTGCAGAAACGGCCCCTGGATGATGGAGGTAAGTTGCTGTAAATACCCTTGCTTTTCAGGCGGTAGTGAAGCTGCCAGTTACATTCAGATCTGTGTCAGCCATTTTTGTAATGGCTTTCTCAAACGTCACTCTAAGGGTAATGATTGAGGGGAAGTATTTAGGGTGATTTTTCTGAGCAATTCTCAGGCATTTGAGTTCCTATTTGCGTTGATAATACAGGAATCTTTTCAGCTGGGCTCTACGGTAAAGACTTGGCCCCTGGGCAAAGGCTTGGAAGTAATTTGACCTACTTGAGAATTTTGTTTCATTTAGCCCTCCGTTCTTCCAGTGTGCATGCGAGAATTGAAGTTCTTACTTTTTTCCAAAGAAAAGCTAAGATTTAGTGCATATTTCTGAGGATGCGGTGGCTAAATCTTGACCTTAAATGGGAAGAGGATAGCGACCTTTCTACAGTATATACCAGGTTTTTCACCATTCTCCCTTTTTTTCCCAAGGTGTTTGACTTTAGGGCTCTTGTGCTTGCCAAGGAGACAGAAACAGTGTGAGGGAAAGTGAGAAATCACCCCCCCCCAGGGGGCATGGCCATGCCACAGTCCCTTTTTCTCCGTTCTTCCAGGATTTGGGGCACACATGCACATGCACCCAGCATGAGTTTCAAGCCACCGGGTCCGGGAGTCTAGCCACGATTGGCCACGTGGGAGTCCAGTGATGTAACTGCTACACCATCTGCTGGTCCCCACCACTTCCACTTTTGACATTCTCTTTCTAGAAGCACTCATTTGTTGTTTTGTTGGTTTGCGTATATACTCTAGTCTGTCCCAAGAAGAATTCAAAAATACTCAGAAGTGCCTACCACCAACACTTTCACAGAGTATCAGTGTATTTCTGCAGAGGTTGGACTTCCTTTATTGTATTTTGTCTCCTGGGAAATATTTCTGTGAAAGGAGGGATAGTGAAGTCCCCTAAATTCCACATGAATTTGCATGTCAGCTCAATGTCTTCTCTGTTCTGTTTATCTGTGTGTGCCCAACCATATGTATTTACATATTTTTGTGATGTGTTAAGTGGGGGGAAAAAATCGAAGTACAGAACAGTATGTGTTGTGTAATCTTCCAAAAAGAAAAAGTTCTGTATTTATATACACAGGACAAACCAAACTTGTCATGGCCGTGATTTCTGTGGTCACTCCAGGGATTCTAAAAGAGGAGATAACCATTGTTTTTAGATGTGGGAGCTTCTTTGAATAATTGTTTAGACTCAAACTGTGAAGGGAATCACACTCATTTGAGTATAGTATTCTCAACTGGACTGGTCTGAGGTGTTTCGTGTTGGGTAAATTCTCTTTATAAGCTAAATGATGTGTAGCAATTGAAAGTATAAAATAATAATAATATCCCAAAAAACTGTATGTAATTATACCACATACAGAAAATCTCCCCCCGGACCACTGGAACCAAGGTACCTAGTAAACTGCAGCTCCACAATGGCGCCCTGTGGCCTTTTTATACACGTGTGTAGTCATTTCTTAGATCAGAGAACGCTGATTACACTTTTGACTTAGTGAAAACTTAGAGTAACCTTTTTACCTTTTTGAATGGTCTTGCTTTGGTTCGTCCTTTGGGACATCAACATAAAAATAAAGCTAAGTTGTCTGGCTCTGAGCACATACCTCATTAATGGACAGCGTCTCTCTGGCCTAGTGTTTCCAGAAATTGAGATCAATACTTCTCCCAACTCCTTCAGCTTTTCACAGCAATTTGGCCCTTGTTTTCACTCGCTCCATTGAGTTGGAGTGTTAAAATTTGTACCCACATGGGGGCCGGCAGGTGCCGTGGTATGAAGGCACTGGACTCCTACATGGTCGACCTTGGTTTGGGTCCCAGACCTGGTGGCTTGCTTTCTCACTTTCCTTCTCACTCTTTCTCTGGTGAATGCATGTGTACTATAGCAAACAAAATACTAATAATAATTTTAAAATTAATAATTTTAAAAAGTTTGTACCCACATCGAGCAGGTTGACACTGTGTCTTTTGCATAAATAACACATACATATTTACAGATGAAACCCTCTGTCATTCTACATCCTTCTCCTATCAGTTCTTTGCAAAACCCCTTGAACGAAATGAGTAGAAAGCCTCTGAATTTTTTGATAAGGAGAATATGGTAGCTGGCAGAAGACTCAAACTGTGAAGGGAATCACACTCATTTGAGTATAGTATTCTCAACTGGACTGGTCTGAGGTGTTTCGTGTTGGGTAAATTCTCTTTATAAGCTAAATGATGTGTAGCAATTGAAAGTATAAAATAATAATAATATCCCAAAAAACTGTATGTAATTATACCACATACAGAAAATCTCCCCCCGGACCACTGGAACCAAGGTACCTAGTAAACTGCAGCTCCACAATGGCGCCCTGTGGCCTTTTTATACACGTGTGTAGTCATTTCTTAGATCAGAGAACGCTGATTACACTTTTGACTTAGTGAAAACTTAGAGTAACCTTTTTACCTTTTTGAATGGTCTTGCTTTGGTTCGTCCTTTGGGACATCAACATAAAAATAAAGCTAAGTTGTCTGGCTCTGAGCACATACCTCATTAATGGACAGCGTCTCTCTGGCCTAGTGTTTCCAGAAATTGAGATCAATACTTCTCCCAACTCCTTCAGCTTTTCACAGCAATTTGGCCCTTGTTTTCACTCGCTCCATTGAGTTGGAGTGTTAAAATTTGTACCCACATGGGGGCCGGCAGGTGCCGTGGTATGAAGGCACTGGACTCCTACATGGTCGACCTTGGTTTGGGTCCCAGACCTGGTGGCTTGCTTTCTCACTTTCCTTCTCACTCTTTCTCTGGTGAATGCATGTGTACTATAGCAAACAAAATACTAATAATAATTTTAAAATTAATAATTTTAAAAAGTTTGTACCCACATCGAGCAGGTTGACACTGTGTCTTTTGCATAAATAACACATACATATTTACAGATGAAACCCTCTGTCATTCTACATCCTTCTCCTATCAGTTCTTTGCAAAACCCCTTGAACGAAATGAGTAGAAAGCCTCTGAATTTTTTGATAAGGAGAATATGGTAGCTGGCAGATGTCTCTAACTTGGCCAGCACCACTAGTAAGTCCTGAATCTCACTTAAAACCCCAGTTCATTCTTCTATGGTATATCTTCACTTCTTTTTTCAAAAACCAACATTTTTTTTTGCATGCCGGCTTTTGGGGGACTAAATCATTGTAAATAGAAAGTGAACAGAGTTTGTCTTTTCATTCTTCTAAATACTGAACTTTTTTTTTTTTTTTTTAATTTTGCTAGAGGGTGCTTATGCTCACCAGAAAGTAACAGAGAGAAAGTGAGAAAGCACCCCTTGTGGGGAATAGCCGTGCTACAATCCTTTTTCCTCCACTTCTTCCTCCCTTCAGGATTCAGGCCATGCATGCACGTGTGCCCAGTGTGTTTTCTGAGCTGCTGGATCTTGAACCACGCAGTAACCATGTGGAATCCAGCTGCTTCAACCACCACACAATCAACTGGCCCTAAATATTATGCTGTCTATAGTGAGAAAGAACCAAGTGAGAACTTTCGGTATCATGCCTCATCTCCCATCTTTGGATGTCTGGTCTTATGTAACCCCCGACAGTATTTGAAGAAGATTGCTCCGGTTGCACATTCTTTTTTTATAAATAAGACAGGGTATATACATGTACCAGAGAGAGCAAAGGCGAGCTCTCCTCAGGGCCTGGTCCCTCGGAAGTCTTTTTTCTCCTCTTTTCCTCTGTCCCATCAATATCCTGGGCACAAATGCACATTCTGAACATGTTTTCAAGCCTCCAGCACTGGGATTTGAACCTCAGCTGGCTGTATGGGATCCAGGTGGCCACACAGGATCCAGCTTCCCCTGCACAGCACTTACCTGCTGCACTGCAGGGCCGGCCCTCGCTCCTTACAGTCGCCTTACTGCTTGATGAATTAATCTTCTCTTCTGCTGAGCACTATTAAATTAATAGAATTATGCAAATTGTTCATTTTCCCCAGGTTGGTCTCCATGTGTAGAATTTGAGATTTGCATTTGAGCTCCCCAGAACTCTGGGTGTCTGGGGCCTGGCCCAGCCTTTCTGTCAGTCGTGTTAAGGTCGCAAGGCTAGTTCTGTTCTCTCAGGAGTGCGTGAACGGATCGCCTTAAGGGAAGGGATGCTCGTGTTCACTGGTGGCTTTGAACGCTCACGTCTTAACACTGGTGCATTGAGCAGGGGCTGAACAAGAAGCCGGAATTCCAGCTTTTTTCAAAGATTCCTGGCGGGTTAGCAGTTGTCTGTTTGGCTTGGCTTGGATTTTTGTGACAGGAGCTCACTGGATCGCTTCTTTAGCAATGTGAACTTTTTAACTTTCCTCTGAAGCAGGGTTCTTTAACCTTTAGAAGGTTAAAGTTCAGCTCTCTAGAACTTTGGGGAGGTGTTATTCCCGTCTATTTTTTAAAAATACTCCAACTTTTCAGTGAACTGAAAAGAACTTAATATAGGGTTCCTCAGGACATTGAGATTCACAAGCAGATAAAGATGACGTACGAGGTGATAAAACGAGAAAAGGCTTGTTCCTGGTGTAGGATGGGATGTGGGTTACTTTTGTTCCAAGGTGACGTTTGGGGCCATCTGTCAGCTTGCAGTCCATGAACCTGCTTGGAGCCAGCAGAATTCAGAGCTCAGCTTTCAAACCCACCTCGGGGCC